GTCTTCTTCTTCGTCGTGGTCTTCTTGCAGGTGCGCGGCGGCTTCTTCAATCTCAGGTCCGCGGCTATGGCGCATCAGGCCCTGCATACGACGGCGCGCATGGAATAGCGGGTACCAGCTCCGATACCAATGCAATCAGACTCGTTCTCAAACACACTTTTCATGCATGTAAACAGCAACGCAGCATACTGGCAACATGCGCCCACTCAAAACTCGGAGATATGGCTTTCAGATACGAGTTCACTCTCAATTAGCTATGGCGACTTCAGCGCCCAAACATCTCTGTTCACATACACTGGATCACCCTGGATATCCCACACGCATCACTCTAACACTCGAGCACACACACACACACTCACTACTAACTACAGCTATGGCAGCTATCGCTGCATCTAACCTATCGCTAGACTAACTCCCTCTCTCTTGCCCACTGCGTCCTTCGGGCTCATCTGCAGACCTCCTTGCACAAGTCGCTGTGGCAGCGCTTCCGCATGGCTCACGCAGGAATGAATACTGAATGGCTGGGCACTGCCTCTTGATTTATACTTCAGAAACTCGTTGGTCTGCCCTTTGCCATTGGCCCTTGGTGCTCACAGTCCCCCTGTGGTACTTGCTGGACCGGACTGGGACTGACTGGACCTTCCGCTGACTGACCGTGGACTCACCGCTATCCTACCGACGTTGTACTGCTGTTGCACTGCGGTTTAGTCCACCACTTGCCTCTCCACTTGACCACTTGCCCACTTGCCTACCTTCTAGAAGGTCTACAGCTAAGCTTCCGGAACTCACTAAGACTCCTACGCTATAGACCTACAGATCGAACCCCTGCTGCCTATGGACCTACGACAGGCCTACCAACTGCCTATGAATACACAGGTCATAGGTTCAATGCTCGGTGTCTACACAGATACTGTACATGGGTAGAGTGAGGTCTAGGGATCGAACCCTGGGTACTGCATCCGCCATTGCTAAAAGGTGAAAACCGTTTCATGTGTGTGTGTGTGTGTGTGTGTGTGTGTGTGTGTGTTTTCTCATATTTGCTATACACAACTCCACAGAAAAAGCATGACTGTTTCGTCGGACTTTTACGGAGTTGTCAGGAGGATGAACCCCAGCATTCTGCACAGGATGCGTTTGAATGTTGGATAAGGACTCACCGCATGGATACCCCTCAGAAAAGTGGTCGACTTTACTGACACAAACTCTGCAATGCTGGGGAGGGGGCGGGGCGGTGTGTGTGTGTGTGTGTGTGTGTGTGTGTGTGTGTGTGTGTGTGTGTGTGTGTGTGTGTGTACATGTGTGTGTATGAGGACGATCAGTACAGTTTGAGAGTGTGTGTGTTCCCTATACTAAAAAACGCATGACTGTACCAGACTGTTTCGTCGGACTTTTACCAACTCATTCGGAGGTTGGGTTTGTGTGGGGGTGTGTTGTATCCGTGAAAGTCCGACGAAACAGTTTGGTGCAGTCGTGCTTTTAGAGCTAATATGAAAACACACGCACACACACACACACACACACACACACACACACACACACACACACACACACACACACACACACACACACACGAGAGAGAGAGAGAGAGAGAGAGAGAGAGAGAGAGAGAGA